GAAGAGGAAGAGGAAGAGGAAGAGGAAGAGGAAGAGGAAGAGGAAGAAGCTCATCATATGACATGTTTTCCACTATGACTCCGCAGCGACCGTTCCATATCTCATCAGTGACCGTCTGTCTGCTCAAGGCACCGCTACACCGCAGCTCTCGAGGAAGGTGGCATCCTTCACCTGGCAACTTTCGGTCAGTGGGTGGAAAGAAAAGGAGATCGGTTGGAGACCATCACCACTAGGGAGGCCATCGCTAGGTTGGAGGCTGCTAGCATGGCCCCGAGTTCAGATGACCATCCAAAGTACCAAACAGGTAGTGAGGAGTTCGCTTCGATTACGATTTAAGAGTGTATGGCCTACCCTCTGAGTTCTTCAAGACATCTGGGTTGTGAGACTTTGGTGTTCTAACAAAGATAGATGGCAGAGGTACCAAACTTTACAAGCCATTGCAAGTTCACCAGCTGCAAAAAACGCAACCGCCCGAACACCAGCTCGATCAAAATGGCCCAGTTTATAACTGTTATAACTACAATTGACATCTTCATCTGCAAGGGTGCTGTCAACCCTGTTGGGATTGGATCTCTCAAACCTCTCATCTTCGGCTCGCGATGGGCTCGCGAAGTCCATCTGCGACCTCTGCGCAGGGTGACGAGTGATCGAATTCATGTCCGGGCCAAGGACCAAGAACTGGGCCTGGTGGCCATTTCTGGTCGTTTTCCTGGTGGCCCGTCCCCCTGATGGCCCAAGGATGGATCAAGACAGTCTGAGATTCACTACCGCAGCACTCAAGAGTTCAAAGTGCTGCTCCAGGACATGTCCAAGAACATCTCCCCTCTCCAAGCTCTCGATGTGTCCTCGGATCCTTTCCTTCGCCCGTTGTAGTCCTTGAATCACCATCTGGGGCCCCTCCGTGTGCGCCAAGTACCTCACCAGCTGTGCTCGCAAGTCGCTGGGTGCCGCCAGGCGCTCGGCGTGCCCGCTGACCTCCACGAAGGCAAACTGCTGCGCCAGGACGGCCCGAAAGACTTGAGCATTGGACATCAAACCGGACGCCAGGACTGCATCCACAGCACGAACGAGGATCTCCGCCACGAAGCCTGAGACATTGCCTCAGTGAAAAGACCGGACACCTCCCCAAAAAAGACAGTTGTCAACTTGAGACTTTCCAAAGCTCAAGTGCGAGGCCAAAAAGAATCATGTAAATTAAAGGACCGGATAACCCCACATATGAGTCTTTACGAATCTTAAGTTTCTAAAGCACAAAGCAGTCAGAGTCTCAATAGCTTCTACAACACGGCCTTGTCAGGGAGTGATATCAGCTTCCGACAACAGAGGGGTGGGAGAGAAGGTGTAAGAGAGTGATGTGCACGACGGATGTACGAGGTATTGTGCACACAGGTGTGCGCAGCCACAACTAGCCAACAACACCAGCGGTTGTCGCACGTCCGCAATATGGGGCATAATGTACTAAAGTTGTACTACCAAGTCGCCAGTTCTCATCTTCCAGCTCCCCAGCTACTCCGCGTACTACAGTTGTACTACCAAGTCGCCAGTTCTCATCTTCCCACTCCCCAGCTACTCCGCGTACTCAAGTTGTACTACCAAGTCGCCAGTTCTCAACTTCCCACTCCCCAGCTACTCCGCGTACCAAAGTTGTACTACCAAGTCGCCAGTTCTCAGCTTCCAGCTCCCCAGCTACTCCGCGTACTAAAGTTGTACTAGAAACTCGCCAGTTCTCAGCTTCCAGCTCCACAGATTGCTCCGCGTACTAAAGTTGTACTAGAAACTCGCCAGTTCTCAGCTTCCAGCTCCACAGACTGCTCCGCGTACTAAAGTTGTACTAGAAACTCGCCAGTTCTCAGCTTCCAGCTCCCCAGCTTGTCCGCGTACTACAGTTGTACTACAAAGTCGCCAGTTCTCAGCTTCCAGCTCCCCAGCTACTCCGCGTACTAAAGTTGTACTAGAAACTCGCCAGTTCTCAGCTTCCAGCTCCACAGATTGCTCCGCGTACTACAGTTGTACTACCAAGTCGCCAGTTCTCAGCTTCCAGCTCCCCAGCTAGTCCGCGTACTACGGTTGTACTACAAAGTCGCCAGTGCTCATCTTCCAGCTCCCCAGATACTCCACGTACTACAGTTGTACTACCAAGTCGCCAGTTCTCATCTTCCAGCTCCCCAGCTACTCCGCGTACTAAAGTTGTACTACAAAGTCGCCAGTTCTCAGCTTCCAGCTCCACAGATTGCTCCGCGTACTAAA